ATGTTTTGATCTTCTTTTGTCACCAAAGTAAGATAATATAGTCTGACTCTTTTTGTGCTGCTTAGTCATGATCCCAACCAATTACTTGAGTTTTAAACTCTTTGTTAAGGTAAGAGTCTGTTTCCAATATGAAGAATGTACTGTCCCAAGCTTTGGGGGTTTGTACAGCTGTTTTCAGAGCTACTTCTAGGGACCTGTAAATTTTCAGTTCTTCTAAAGTGGTATGATAAGGGGCGAGGTGTTTCCTCTCCACAGCCATAATAAGCTCCACCACACCAGCGTTCCTGCTCACCCCAGGACCACCCCTCAGAACTGTGACCCAGATCCAAGCACAGGCAAAGCATGAGATTCCTGCCTCAGTACTGGCAAAGAGATCCCTGCAATCCCCCTCTAATCAGCAACTAGATTCCCCCTCAGTCTGTGGGCCTGAACCTCAGGAGGCAGCCGATACCCCAGGGGCACGCTCCAGACTGAGACCTAGCTTCTCTCTCACCGCAGTCACAGACTTTTCCCACTGACCTTCTAAGTTGGTTTGGCGTTTATGGGTTAAGAAGTCTGGAAACCACCACAGGTGCCCGAGATTCAGTCCTCTGAGGCCTGCTTCAGGGTCGCTGCAGCCTGCACGCCCATGCCAAAGTGCGCTCCTCTCCCCACCTGGCGCGATATACTTTTCCAATCAACCATCTAGGTTGTCTTGAACTGGAAATTTGTTTCACTCTGTCTTTTTGTGGGTTCTGCTGCTTTAGAATATGTTTAGAGCCATTTTTTTATAGGTATTTGGAGGGGTCACTGCTTTCACTTCACCATCTTGGCTCCGCTAAGAACATTTTTTCCAGTGATGTCTAGCTTGTGGTTTTCAAGGCTATGCCATATACGGTCCTTTTGGCATCCCTTATTTGTTTACTGTGTGGACATGATGAGATTGTAGAAAGGTGAAATATATTATATGGGACATACGGCTACCCTTCACAATAGTAGGTAGAACTAAATACAGGAGTGTATAGGTAAATGTTTAACAACCATCTGGGTGGATGGGGGAGCCCAATATACACATGAAACACTTTTAAGTTAAATCTTCATTATTAACATTTTCTCCATCACTTTCTTAAGTCTAGACAATCAGAAAAATAATAAATCAAGCCCTGATTTATAGCATTTTCTACAAGATGTAAATGATTACAATGAAAATTTAACAATTGGCTCTCTCAAGAATTGAGGTGGCTTCAACACACTTACTGATTTAAAAGTCTCTGAACCCCATGCTTCAGGTCGTTCATTTGGATTACGCTCTAAACAGCATATGTGCCAGTGTTTGTTCAACAGACCATCAGAAATTCCTTCTGTGCCAATGACATCATATAGCCTGTTGATTATTCAAAATATGTTGACTTCATAAAAGCAGTCTCATGAACAGTTTAATCAACTTTGTAAAAAAATGCATTGTTGTAGACCTAGTGCTAGTTATTGATCAGTTATGGTTAATTAAGTCAATAAAAATTCCATTATTTAACAGTCTGAATTCTTAAGCATTGTGAAGTTTATTCTGTTATAGGAACATTACAACTGGGACTCCTGGTTTTAGTTCAACAAGCTCACAGATGATTCTCACCTTCCATTTCAGCAGTTTTAATGAAAGAGAATATACTTTCACAGAACTGGGGAGATGCAAGCCACTCAGTTTGCAATGCATTACCTACAGTTTGACCACGAAAGTTAGAAACTTCATTCAGGTGGTTAAGCCCTAAGAGCTTACTAGTGCATATGTGCAAGCTAATTGGGTAATGTTTTAAATTTTATAATAATAACAAATTGGATGGTGGAGAGGGAGAACAGGCTGAATTACATCTGGGAAGTTATGCAGTACTTCTAATAATCCTACCAGAAGCAAAAATTCACCCTTTTAACACAGTATTATTCTGCTCATATTATTTAACTGTGAATAATGGAATGCCACAACCTCCAGCAATCCAAAATTGGAGGTGGTCCATGTGGCAATGGAGAGATGTATGGAAGGCTTAAGTTGGCTGCAGCATATTTGCCAGTGATAATTTATATGTAAGAAATGGCACAAAAGATATCATTTAAGAGATGTATGATCAGAAAAGGAGGTGGATTGGTCATGTAATGAAACCATGGCATAACAAATCGATGACATACGTGCCTTGCTGGTGTCCATGTAAAAATCCCACGGGAAGGCCACTGGCACTTTGCAGGATTTATGGAAATGCAGGACAAGAGTCCCAAAGCATAAGAAGATAAAGGATAGGTTGTGATATGCTCTGTTGAGGGAGCACTCATAATGAATGAAATCACAAATCCTGTTTTGTACTGAAAAATAATAATTAACACTTCACATTTATAACACACACACACCCACACACACACACCCATATAACACATTTGTATAACGCTTCAAGGTTTACGAATTGCTTTGTAACAGCTCTCTGAAGAGTGACAGCTCTCTGAAGCTGAGGTAGATTGGTATGACACTCAGTCACACAACTAACAGGGATCTGAGCCTGGACCTGAACCTATGCTCTCTGAACCCAAGTCCAGTGCTTTTCTTACTATAGTAGGATGCTAAAAATCTCATAGAAGCCACACAGGTCCTTTGGCCAAGCAGCTTGCCTGTAGTCCAGGGGAGTGTGCAGCAGTGATTCTACAACATTCTACAGTAGTTTGCCAGCATTTCCACATTAGTCTTACAGACATTTCTGAGAGGTGGAGAGAAGAGGAGTAGCAGTACTCCCTTTTGACCCACTTATTTTCCATAAAATCACATTCCATGGGTAAGTTTGGTGTCCTGTGAACACCTAATGGCTCTGGTAAAGAAATCAAATAAATTACTAACTACTTCTCAGGAAGGATTATGTCTTCAGATTCTTTTGTATTCCTCACAATATCTTATAGGATATTAGAGGACAATCATATGATCATAGTGCTAGGTTTTAGAACTCATAAAACAAATTCTATCATTATTTTTTAGGTTGTAGGATTTAGAGCTGGATGCTTAGAAATCTTCCAATGCAGGGATTCTTAATCTGAGGTCCATGAATTTGTTTTTCACATATTTTGATAATTGTATTCCTTTGTAATGCTATGTATTGCTTCTGAGAAGGGGTTCAGAGACTTCTCCAGATGGCCAAAGGGGTCCATGACACAAAAAAGGTTAAGAACCCTTGTTTTTGTCCAGCCACATTTTACATTTGAAGTAAAGCAAACCTCCCTCTTTCAGTATATTAGACAGAATGGACCAACTCCCACAAAAGGAGAACACAAATCAATTTGCTCCTTGTATTTTGTGGTAGGGTTCCAGTTAGGATGGCAAGCCAGACCTATGATTTCATAGTTTATTGCAACTCTCAGTGTGGAAACTCCTTTCACTGATGTAAATCTGCAAACTAGTCTTTTAAAAAACTTGTTGATTATCTAATCTGCTGTTTTAATATCACTTTCATTTCTTTATATACCCCCTTTGCCCTTGATACCAACTTACTGGTATCCCTGGTTTCCTTCAACTCTCAGCTAAAATCCTACCATCAACAAGAAGAGTTTCCCAATCGTCCTTAATCTTAATGCCTTCCCTCTGAGATTATCTCCAATTTATCCTGCATATATCTTGTTTCTACATAATTGTTTGCATATTGTCTTCTCCATTTGATTGTGAATTTCTTTCCCAAGAGCAGGAACTGTTATTATTTACCTTTGTATCCCTAGACTTAGTACAATGTCTAGTACATATCAGACACTTAATAAATGCTAGTTGACTTAAGTGAGCCATCTTTTCTGACAAAAAAATGAAAAAAAAAAAGATGAATACATCAAATGAGTCTGACAGCAATGCAATCACATCCATGGTTCCCCACCTCTGAAATGAAAGGAGAGAGGTGCATTTTCTCATTTCTTCTATAACCAGTAGTCTTGAGAGTGGTGTGATGGCACAGTGGATAGAGTATTAAACTGGGAGGAAGGAAGAAGAGTTCGAATTTGACCCAGACACTTTCTAGCTAGGTGACCTGGACTAGTCATTTGACCTCTGTCTGCCATGGTTTTCTCATCTGTAAAATGGAGATAATAATAGCCACCTACTTCCCAAGGTTGTGAAGATCAAATGAAATAATAATCATGAAGCGCTTAGCACAGTGGACTGGTGGGTTGGTTGTTGTCCTTTGTTCTCAAAGACAACCAAAATGACATCACTATGCTAGAGTCCAGTTTCAATGTGTCCGAATGTGGCTGATCAGACCAATACGAGCTTGGAATGTTCTACCACAGGTAGAGCACAAATATTCCATGTGAACATTTGGGGTGGATTCTCTAAATTTTCGCACCTTGTGTTTCTTTTGACCTATTTAAATTCTGTTTTGCTCAGAGAGTTAGAACCTTCTCTGAGGTGGGCATGCCATGCTGAGCGGTCCTAAGCCCCTGTCTCCCATGTCCTACAAACAATCCCAAAGTTCTTAAGAGAGACTTTGAAAGTGTCCTTGTATCGCTTCCTATGACCACCATGTGAATGCTTGCCCTGTGTGCTATATAAATGTTTGTTATTATTATTATTATTATTATTATTAAAACTTAGTTCAATTCAATAAACATTTATCAAAAGCCAGCTATGTGCCTGGCAAAGTGCTAACTGCTGGGGATACAAAAGAAGGCAAAAGACAGTTCCTGCCCTCAAGAAGCTTACAATCTAATGGTGACTAAGTGATTTGCCCATGACCACACAGTTGGTATGTCAGAGGCAGGCTCTGTATACATGGAATCCTTTCCATTTCTTCCTTAACTGGACCCTTCTCAAAACAAATTTTCTCATCTCCCTTAGCCAGCCTTCCTGGGTGTGCATGGGACTACAGATCCCAAAGTGCAAAGCTCCTCCCCTAACCTTTTCCCCCAATGGCCCAGCTGCTGCGTGGTCCTTAGGGACATGTAGTTGTGTGCGACCTGGCGCACACGCCAGTTCCTGGATCCCCACAACAGCCCACTTCTTTTCCCCTCCCTAGTTGCCGTGGAGACGAAGAGACGCTGCGCTGAGAACAAGGGGTTCCCTAGCCAGTCTATGAAGAGGAGAGGTGGGGAACGAAAGAACACTCTATTCAGGCCCCACCTCTGACCAGAAACAAGCCATGATGACCCCCATCAGCCGTGGGTGCTTGGAGCTGGGACCCACAGACGTCCTGGAGCGCAAAGGTCCCCTCACCATCCGCTCCCACCACATGAAGTACTCGAAGCCGGTCCTGATGTATGGCTGGTAAGGACCCCTTCCCCCTAACCCGCTAACCCCGGGGAATGGGTAGAAAGACCAGGCCTCGCAAGTTGGAGCGGGAGCTGCCCTCCCTTCCTGCAGCCTGGATGGACGCTCCACCTGTAGTCGCCTCGCACCCTCTGCAGGGCGTTTGTAGAATCACAGAACCTCAGAATTGGAAGGGACTAATAGGGTCAATTCAATTCAGTTTCATCCCCTCCACTCCCCCTTCCTCCTTCCTCTTTTACTTCCCCTCCTTTCCCTTTTCCTATTAAAAGCTTCCCCACCCCTCTAAAGGACAGATAGAATAGAACAGTGAAAAGAGTTCGAGATTTGGAGTCTAAGAACTTAGTTTCATTCACAGGTTCTTCTTCTTACCGTTGCGACATTGGGCAAGTTATCACTTTTTCAGTCTCATCTGTAAAATGAAGTGGAGTGTGACTAACTCTTATGTCCCTTCCAGCTGTGATACTAATTGGTTTCAGAGACTTTCAGAGTTGAGGGAACCTTTGTGGTTTTCTTCAGTGGTTCCACGCAACAAGCGTTTATTAATCTCCTCACATAAAGCAAGTACAGTAATAATAACACATTTTACATCCCTTCGAGGCTATAGGACAAATTCCTGTGAGCCCTTTCTTCATATCCTTGTGTTCAAGGCATGTTCCTTAACTTCTCAGTGCTCTAGGCAGTTCTTTAAGATTATGAATTTCAAGAAGATGCTATGGCACTGGTGGAAGGGTAGAAGTTGCCTGTCTAGGCAATTGACTTGAAGAGAAGGTGCTTACCTTTGTTAGTAGAGGCAATTTCCTCTTGGGGAATTCCATTGTATCAGTGAAATCACTGATCCAGTCCTATGGCCTCTCCATTCCTTATAGCAAGAGTGAAGAAGGAGATGGTGTCAGTGTTATTATCTTTGTTTTACTAGAAGAAGAATATGAAGCTCATGAAGGTTGAGTAATTTGCTGAAGGTGATACAGTTAGTAAGTGACATTTCTGGGATTTGAATCTCCATTTCTTAACTCTAGACACTGTTGACATAGTTCCTAATCTCAAGGAGTTTACAGTTTAGAGTGGGATTTTTGAGATAAAACAAATACACTATATACATGATAAAAGACCGAATGTGAAGAGGGCAAAGAAGAGATCCAAAGTGACGAAAATCCAAGGAAGGAGTGGTCCTTTCAGATGGAGATGGGGAGAGCCAGAAGGATCTGGGAAGTTGTCTAGGAGGATGTAAATAATAATAATAGCTAGTGTTTATATAGTATTTTAAACTCTGCAAAGAGCTTTACAAATATCTCATTTCATCCTCACCACAACCCAGACAGGTGGGTGCTATTATTATCTCCACTTTAAAGATAAGGAAACTGAGTTAGAGGAAGATTAAGTGACTTGTCCAGATCATACGGCTGGTATCTGAGGTTGGATTTGAACTCAGGTCTGCCTGTTTCCAGGTACAACATTCTTCCTTAATCTTAGTGCTTCCTTTTATGATTATCTCCATTTTATTTTGTACAACTATTTTGTACATAGTTGTTTGCATGTTTCTTTCCCATTATACTATAAACTCCTTGAGAGGAGGGATTGTTTTTTGCCTTTCTTTGTATCTCTAGTGGTTTACCCAGTGCCTGGCCATAGTAGGTGCTTAATAAATGCTTGTTGACTTGACTTCAGTGAAATATCTTTTATAACAAATAATTAAAAAAAAAGAAAGGTAGAAAAAAGCAGTCCAGCAAAACAAACCATCACACCAATTGAGTCTGCCTGATTCCAGATCCATTTCCACTACTGAACTACCTAGCTAGTGCCTGAGGTAAGCTTTAGAGGAAGAGAAGATGTCAGTAGGCAGAAATGAAAAGGGAATGGGTTTCAGTTATGGACATGCCAGTAATCTAATACAGGAGATTGCTGGATGTGTAGTCTAGTTTGCTTGGAAAACTACACATGTGCTTGGAAAAGCACACATGAAGGAGAATAGTGTGGAATGAGATTGGAAAGATAGATTTGAGCCAGATTGTAGTCTCTGTTTTGAGAGTTTACTGTCTAATACAATGGAAAAGACCTGTGCACAAATAACTCTGGGAGAGCATGATAAGTAGATAAATGTGAGGAAGAGTTTCTCATCAGCAGTCACTAGCTACAGGAATAAGGACTTTTAGGGTTAGTTGAAATAAATGATCTCCAACATCATTGCATTTAACACCCTAATTTTGCAGATGAGGAAACTAAAGCCTCTGCTGTTTAAATGACCCAAGGCTGTGCGATTAGTCTCAGAACAGTGACTGTTTTCCTGAACCACGTATTCTTTTCACTACCCCAGGCTATTAATGTGAAACAGGTGAGGTTAAGCTGAATGACAGATGATCACAATATTGAATGGGTAGGTGCCATTTGAAGGACCAGGCAGGTGCCTCAAACATTTTCCAAAAAATACTGTGTGTTGATCTGCCCTGAGGTCATAAGCCAATGTTTCCAGAGGCTTACTGACCTCTTTAGGATAATCAGATCATAGATTTAGAACTGGGAGGGAGCTTAGAGATGCAAGTCTAACCTCTTCATTTTTTGCTGAAGAGGAAAACAAGACGATCAAAGTGAAATGACTTGCCTAAGGTCCATACAAAATGGAGTCTGAACCCAGGACCTCAGACCTGAAATCCAATACTCTTTCAACTAATTATGACATGGCTGACTAAGTTAATCTTCCTACCATCCAGATGTAACCACTTAACTCCACCACCCTGCTGCCAAACCTTCAATTCTTTCTCCCTCCACCCTGCTTAGGCTTCCTGAATAAACTATAAGCGCCTTAGGAACCGCAGTCCCACACCAGTCTACCTTTCCAGCTTTGTTATTCTACTCCCCTTTTTATATTCTATGTCTCAGTCAAACTGGATTACTAATTATTTCCTGATCTTGCCATGCCTCTTCCTGCCTCTAGGCATCCAACTGCACTGTATCCTAAGCACAAAGCTTGTGCTGGGAAGCCTTTGCTCATCTCCCCATTTGTCAGGGCTTTCTCTTTCCTCAGAGTATCTTTTGTACTATTTTACCTGTGGTATCCCCCAATAGAATGTAAACTCTTTGAAGGATTTTTTTTTTTTTTAGTTTGTATTTCCAGCATCTTGGGCAGTGTCTTGCCTATTAAACATTTCTTGTTTCTCCTCCAATATGTGAAGTGTCCTTCTTGTCCTTTAAGGTTCGGTTCAGTTCAGCTATTAACTCCTGCACAAAGCCTTCCCTGATGCTCCAAGTGAAAGTGATCTCTCCTAGTCCCAATTTTCTTAAAATACTTTCTTCTGCCTTTAGGGTGATAGAGTTTATCATTCAAGACCTTAGAGATCATCTTTGGTTTGTGACTGGGACTTTAGAATTCATCTGGTCTAACCTGTTCAATTTACAGATGATGAAACTGAAGGCCAGTGAATTGTGACCTAAAGTCACACCAGAACTGGAATTTGAACCGGTACCTCTGATCCAAATCCAGTGCTTTTTATTTTGCCTTGTATTATTATTTGTGTGTGTATGCATACACATTTATACAATGTATTTATATATATATATATAGACATACATACATTTATATACTATATATGTACAAATGTGTTGTACATGTTTTCATATATGTATGTATATATAAGTGTTTTGTTATATCTATATTTATATCTGGACATAGGTATCTTATGTCTCATTTAGATTGTAAGCATCTTGAGGGCAAGCACTGTGTTAATTTTTTATCTTTGTATCTCCAGCATTTAGCAAAACCCTTTGCTAAATAGTACGTAGTAGGTATTTGATGTTTATCAGAACTGAATTTGTTGAATCCTAAATCTTTTCCCAATCCTACAATCCTCCTTTATCCTGTAGGATATTTAACACTTTCCCTTTCCTACTCTTCTCCCTATAGAAACAAATAATCCTAAAGATAAGCAAAAAATCAAGTATGATCACAGTTTGTTTTCCTCCTTATACTGAAGCAAATCTTGAAGTCTGGGAATTAGACATACCATAAGCAAAACTCAGACATAGCTTATCCTCAGTGCCTTGGCTTCTTCTTTCTTTTCCATTTCTTATCCTTTTCCCTCTGCTTCACTTTGTCCTCGTTTTCCAGATAAAGCTTCTTTCCCTCTGTCCAATCTCATAAAAGGATGTTTAAAATGATTTATAAGGAGGTAAATGTATTACATATGTGTTACATATTTACACATGTTTAATGTGTTACATATTCCAGGGGCATTTATATTTTAATAGGGGACAAAGAAATTAATCTCAAAATTTGGAATTTCAGGCATCAGGAGTTATGTGGGATAGGATTTTTTTTTTTGGAGGGGTGAATTAATTTGTTGTTGTTCAGTCATTTTCAGCTGTGTCTGACTTTTTCATGAGCCCATTTTGGGGTTTTCTTGACAAAGGTACTGGAGTGGTTTGCCATTTCATTCTCTAGTTCTTTTTTGCTGATGAGGAACTGAGGCGAACAGGGTGAAATGACTTGCCCAGGGTCACACAGCTAGTTAGAGTCTGAGGCCAGATTTGAACTCAGGAAGATGAGTCTTCCTGATTTCAGCCCAACACTCTACTCACTGCTCCACCTAGCAACCCTAGAAATCATATTTTGTAGGGTACTGCCTCATCACAAAATTGGCCCTTAATAAGAGGTTAGAAATTTAAGCATTTTTAAGAGGAAGTGAAGGTCAACTCAACTTCCAAGACTACCATTACCTTTGGGTGGATTATATAGTTGACTTTGGATACAATTTGAAAGATATACCCCAAACTACTTCCTTCACCCTGGGACTATAGTACTTGAAGTTCCATTAGAAATTCCGTTCTTTGGCTTAATGATACCTCTAACAATAAGATTGCTGCTACTTTAAAATAAATTTTTTTTCTCTTTGTTGCATTATTATTTAGTGAAAGTATAAGAAAGTAAAAACAGCTCAGACAGTCCAGAGCACAAGGAGAAACTTTCTCTTGTGCCTAAGTGTCCTCCAATAGATAAGCAATCTTCT